AAAATTAATAAAATATAATTATAGAAAAAACAAAACAAAAAAAAATTGGCTATGACTGGTACAGGAGGAGATTGCCCCTCCTTTTCCAGCAGAGCATCATTGAACCATTGACCTCTGGGCTGCAGTGCAGCTTCTTGCCACTAGGCCACCATAGCTGCCTGACAGCAGACTTTTTCAATGCAACACATTTCCGGATCTCTTGACTGGTACCAAGGGTGTTGATTGTCAAACCAAGCAAGATGAACTTGTTGACAACTTAAAATTCTCCATCATCTGTTGTCTGGTGAGGATTTTTGCATGTTGAGATATAGCTGTCTCTCCCTCTAAATAGTTATATATATAGTTTTATATTTAGGTTTATATCTATATATATCGATAAATATATAAATATGTATGTATATAGATGTTGTTGTTGTTGTGTTCTTATGTGCCATTGAATCGCTTGAGACTCATAGCGACCTTCTGTACAAGAGCCCTAAACGTCATTCTATCCTGTGCCAACCTCGCTGTCTCAAACACACTCATTCCCACCACTCCAATCACAGAATCAATCCATCTTATCAAGATTCTTCCTCTCCTGCGCTGTCCCTCCACTCTCCCAAACATGATGTTCCTCTCCAAGGACCAGTCCCTCCTTCCAACATTCCCAAAGTATGTCAGACAAACCTTCAAAATCCTTGACTCCAAGGAGCATTCTGGCTTCACCCTTTCTAGAACAAACCTGTTTGTTCTCCTAGCAGTCCATGGTATATTTAACACTCTTCTCCAGCACCACAGCTCAAAGACATCAATTCTCTTTCTATCATCCCTGTTCACTGTCCAACTCTGCAATGCATAGCACATTATTGCAAAGACTATAGCCTGGATAGGGAGCACCTTAGTCTCCAGCCTGACGTCGTTGCTCTTCAGTACTCTTGAGTCCTAATGCACCATAGTGGCACAGACTGTTGTGCACTGTTCTAATAGCCAAAAGGTCAGTAGTTTGAATCCATCAGCTGCTCTGTAGGAGAAAGATGTGTCAATCTGTTTCAAGAAAGAAGAAACCCTTCGAAACCTTTTGAAACAGGCCTAGTCTGTCCTACAGAGTGACTGTGGGTTGGCATTCATTTGATGGCAGCGAGTTTGGTTTTTACTGAGGTTTGACTTGTGACCAAAGAGGGGTGTGGGGCAGTGATGAGGGGGAGAAAATAGGGAGAGAAGAGGGACTAGCAGCACCAGAGTCTGAATAATTAAAAAAAAATAGAAAAGCATATACAAAACCACATCAACACTAAAAGACATTCACTCTTCTGGTGTATCTGTGGAGTTCCTAGGAAGTGCTGGCGGCACAGTGCATAACACACTGGTCTGCTAACCAGAATGTCAGTGGAGGAGTCCACCAGCCGCTGGAGGAAGAAGGTTGAAACAGTCTCCTGTAAAGATTCACTGCCTCCGAAACTCAATGTTGTCCTTAGAATCCACTTAATGGCAGCAGGTTGGTGGCATTGTGCATTGCTTGTTGGGTTGTTAACAGAAAGGTCAGTGGTTCAAATCTACGATCATCTATGAGGTAGGCCATTGGGCAGTCTACTCCAATAAAGACTTACAGATTCAGCACCCTGATGAAGGGTCACCATGACTCTGTATCCACTTGGCGCTGGATCTGTGGAGTTCCTGGGTGGCACCAATGGTTAAGCATTGGGCACTGACCATGAAGGGTGGTTAAGCACTGGACTATATTAGCATAAAGGTTGGTAATTCAAGCCCACACAGAGGTACATCAGAAGTAAGGCTTGATGTAGTTCTACACACCAGAGTCAGCGTCTCCTTGGGTATCACCAGCCAGAAAAACACACAGGTATTACTTGTCAGGTTGCATTTGGCTTTATTGCACTTCAGAGATTGCTGTGAAAAAACAAACAACAAAAATCACACAAACACCTGAAGGCTGTGGCAACCCTGCTGTGGAGCAAGTCTATCTGTTCCATTCCGCCAAGGGCAGCACTCACTCATCTCACACTATGTCAAATTTCTTCACTAAGCTAGCGCACACGTGATAGGTTATTATTGTTGTTATGTGCTGTCAGATCAGAACCACACCACAGCTGACGCACCAGAGGGTTTTCAGAGGCTGTAAATTGCAGGAGGAATTGTTCATTTTTCTCCCACTGAGCAGCTGGTGGATTCGAACTTTGTGTTGGCAGCGCACCGCTTTATCCACTAGGCCACCTTTGATGGCGTAAACACAATTTATTAAACATAACTTAGTGTCTGAGGAAACAGAAAACTCGGAGCAACTCACTATGACAATATTTGCTCTTTTGCATGGGTCTGTCACTGAGCCCAGAGCCTCTGAGGCACATGGTTACACACCGCCATCCCTAGAGCCTGCTGGGAGCGGGCGTCCATACATTCCAGATTCTTTTCTATGTTGTTGTTGTTATGTGCCGTTGAGTCGCTTGCGACTCATAGCGAGGAGCTATTTGTTTTAACACTGTCTTGTTTTTTCCTCCCTGCACTCTAACTTGCTGCTTCGTGGGGACAGGCGTGGAGCGCAGGAAACACTGACCAGGAGACTGTCCCCGTAGCCACCTGTGCTGAGCTGGGGGACACTGGGGCAGGCGGACCCTGGGGCAGGGGGACCTCGAGGGGGAAGTCTCCCCACGTGAGTCCACGGAGGCTGGCTGAGCGGGTAGTGAGGAAAGAGGGCGGAGGCTGCGCTGACTCAAGGGTTTCTGGGCTCCCTTCAAGATAAGAAGTTGGGATGAAGCACCTGCAAATTCAGAGGGGCAGATAAGAAAGTGAGATGCGAGGACTTCCACTGTAGGTGACATTGTCCATCAATGGGTTGGGGACGCGGCGAGCCAGTCTCCTCGAGGCCTCAGCCCTGTCTGGGACACCTGAGAGGTACCAGGTAGAGGTGAGTGGTGAAATGCCTTGGCACCTGAGCCCTGGTCCTCGGGAGTCTCGGCCCTCGGGCAGGTAGAGACAGCCACCGTCCTCCTCGGGCAGGTGCAGGTGTCGCACCCGGGACCGTGCGCTCCGCTGTCCTGCGAGTCTGGCCCACCTGGAAGGGTCTCGAATCCCCACCGTGCCGCTTCCAGTCTGCTAACCTGGGATGGGTCCCTCGGCCTTCCCTGCTTGGGTTCCCCCGCGGCACACGCTGGCTGGCAGGCCCTAAAAATGTCGCTCGTCTCCGGCACCCTGCAAGGGGCGGCAGTACGCAGGGCCATGGACCCCAGCTCCACGTCGGAAGCCAGGTTTCGCTGCGTGGGGCCTGGTCCCCCGGGGCCCAGCTGCCGGGCGGGACAGGCCTTGCTCTCCGCCCCGCTGAGCCCCAACTCCGCCCTCAAGTCGCCGCCTAAAGCCCGGCTGCCGGGGACTGAGGTGGCAGGTAGCCCGCAGGCCAAACCCCAGCAGCGCAGCCAGGTACCGCGGCCCAGGACCGCCGGCCACGCCTTCGGCCCTTTCCGCCGGGCTCGATCGGCTCTTTCCGCCGCTGCCGGCGCAGGTGGAGGGGCGGGCGGGGCAGTGCGTGGTGACGCTAGGGGGTGACGCACAGCCGTGCCCCGCCCTCTCCCCCTCCCCGCTCAGGCTCTGGAAAGAGAAGAAAAAAACTTTCTTTTTTTTTTTAATTGAGGAATCAACAGCCGCCATCTTGTCGCGGACCCGACCGGGGCTTCGAGCGCGATCTACTCGGCCCCGCCGGTCCCGGGCCCCCACAACCGCCCGCGCTCCCCGCTCCGTCAGCC